GCTGGACACCTCTGATGGCACTGTCCCTATTTACAATAGGAGAATGGTGCGCCCCAGGGGTGTGCAGAGCAGAGTCTATGTGGCTACAATGGTGGCCTTGGCCATTGTTCAAAGAGAAATGGTGTGTCTTGGGCTAGGGCCACGGGCAGCAGGAAGGACAGAGGGGCAGAGCCCAGGGATGTTTATTTCTGTGGTGGGACTGGCGGGTTGGGTGCTGGGTGCTCCCCAGGGGCCTGGGAGCATGGCGAGGTTGGTGGGTCAGGGCTGGGAATTCAGCTGGGGCTTGCCAAGTGACAAGTGGCCATGGTCCACAGACAGGAGGCGTCCTGCAGGAGGAGAGGGTTTTCACGTCGTCCCCAGAGAGGTAGCTCGGTGGGAGTCGGTCACACACAGAGCTTGACTACAGAGAGGAGGGGCTGAGGACGGCTCCTGAGTCAGCGCCTGTGCCAGGGTTGTCCTGACAGCCTCGGGGACCACGCTGTGGCAGGAGGAGACACGGGCCTTGGAGGGCCCAGGAACCGGCGAAGGTGCTTCGCAGCTGCCACAGTCTTCTCCTTGTACCCAGAGAGGCCAAAGAACGGCACGCGGAGGGAACTTCAGGCCGAGGGGGACAGGCGGGACCAGGCTTTGGGGGCCCTTGTTAGATGGCCCCAGTCCTTGGCACTGCCCGTGGGGGGCTGAGGCCAGCTGGGTCCGTCAGAGATCCCAGCCTTGCCTTCCTGCGTCTAGTGAAGGCCTGGCTTGTTAGTCATCGCTGTTATTCCTTCTGAGGTAAAATTTATAGACAATAAAATTCACCCTTTAAAGTGAATGTTTGGTGAGTTTTGACAGATGTGTAAGCTGTATAATCACTACCACAATAATAATACTGAGCATTTCTGTTACTTAAAAAAATGTCCGTTGTGCTGCTGTGTGGTCATCCCTCCTCCTCTTCCCCAGACCCCCACCCCGCTGACCTGTGGGGTCAGGCCCACGCGGCTTCGGAGTCCGGCTGCCTGCCCGGGTGCTCTGGCCGTCCCTCCTCTCTGTGCCGCGGCGCTGCTCGCTGGCTGCCGGGTGGCGTCACTGCGTGGATGCACCACGTTCAGCTGTCTGCTCACCACCGGAGGGACACTTGGGGTGTTTCCAGTTTTTGGTCACAGTGAATAAAGCTGCCGTGCGTTTATGTGCTGGTCTTCGTGTGGGCGTGTTTTCATTTCTCTTGGGTAAGTGCCCCCGCGTGTGACTGCTAGGTCGTGCTGTGGGTGTTTAACTTCACGAGGAGCTGCCCAGCCATTTTCCACAGAGGCTGCACCATTCTGCATCCTGGCAGCCATGTGCGAGGACAGTGTATGAAAACACGGATTGTGTTTCTGTGTTTTGGTGGCAATGCACGTATCACGGAGGCAATATAGTACTGAATATAATAGAATATGGTGCGCTCCATGTGAGGATTACAGGTGGCACATGGATGAACATTTGTTTCCATATTTTACCACCTTTGACCACATTTTAATGACATTTAAAAAACATACCCAGCGCACCAGACCCACGCTTTCTTGGCTGTTACTGCCGAATGGCCAAAACACAGCCCTGTGGTCAGGCCGCCGGGGCTCCTACAGCCTCTTCCTGCTTGTCGTGACCTTGGGCAGGCCACTTCGTCTCTCTGAGGCTCAGATTCATCTGCTCATGTCCCTCCCTGCCTCGTGGATTTGCTGAGGGGGTGAAACCAGTGAGTGCATATAAAGCCCCCAGTTCAAAGCCTGGCACACGTTGACACTTTATTAACAATAATTGCTGCCATTGTTATTAGGTGGGTGTGGCCGTGTGTGATGGGTGAGTCTTACATGCACTGTTTTGTTTGCCCATGTGGACATGAACCCCAGCCCGTGCACAGGGCATGTGGAAGGGCGTGATTCCCGGTCTGAGGGATAAGAGGAAGGATACAACTCTTCCTTCTCTAGTCTCTAGGGTCCGGGTTGCCTTCACGTGCTCACAGGTGTATGTGTGTGCTCGTGAGTGTGCGTTTTGAGGCCACAGATCTGGGTGTGCATTGTGCCTCCAGGGACCAGGGGTTCCCTGTCCCCCTTCTCCATCTGTTCTGCTGTCAGCCGGGACGGCTGGGCTCATGCTGTACCCCCCTTACCCACGCCGCACCCTCCTGTGGAAGGGGGGCCCTGGGAATGACCCTGCCAGGGCCGGGCCTCTGGCCCCTGGCTGTCTCATCACATTTACTCAGAGGCAGTGGTTTCTGTGTCTTTATCCAGGGCCCCAAGTTGGGTGGGTCGGAAGAAGAGGAAGCATTTTGAAGGAATCTGAGGTCCCGCGGTTGGTCCACGGAGTGGAATCTGAGCAGAGGCTGGGAAGGGGGCGCCCATAGGAGACCCTCTAACCAGCTGCTGGGCTCAGGTTTTTAAAAATTGCTTTACTGAGGTATCACTGACACACAAAACCACACGTATATAAAGTGCACAACTGAATGAGTTGTGACACATGCATACTGTCATGAAACTGTCACCACGATCGAGTCGGTGAACACTGGGAGTCCGTTACCCCCAGTGCCCCTTGGTGCCCATGGTGATCCCTCTGCCTCCCCCCCCACCATCCTCAGGCACCCGATCCGCTTGTTTTCACTGTAGCTTCATATGCGTTTTCTAGAGCTGATCCAAATGGGAGGGGGTGGAGGGGGAGGAAGGGTTTTGAGAGGAATGAACACCCTATAGGTGACCCATGAATTGTGTATGCACTTTTTAAACTGGCTCATTTCACTCAGATTACTTATTTTAAAATTTATCTATGTTGCTGCCCATACCAGTAGTTTATTCCTTTTTTATAGCTAAGTAGTATTCCATTGTATAGACGTACCACAATATATGTACTCATCCATCCAACAGGTATTTTTTTATGCTTTCATTTCTACCTGTGTTTACCTCCCTAAACAATACGTAATATTAACTTTTACTAGAGGTATTTTTTGAAATTTAGAGTCCAGCTGTGCCTGAGGCTGGCATACACCCAATGGGTGCCTCTTCCAGGCAGGGCATCTGTAGCTAGCGCCACCCTTTGCCCTTCACCCCAACTGTCCCCTTCCCTGCAATGACCTCCCCTGCTCTGCACTGTCCAGGGGCCACTCAGCCTCTTCCAGGTAGCCTTCCCAGACTGTTGGGTCTCCTCCGCAGTTCCAGCTCCCACTGCTTGATGGTTTTCAAAGCCCTTGAGCACTGTTGGCAGTTCCAGTCTTGTCTCCTTGGTAAAAGCAAAGCAGCGTGTGCCACCCCCACCCCACCCACATGGGCCTGGCGTGCAGGAAGCTGCTCCAGAGAGGCCTGGAGGTTGAGCTCTAGGCCATCCAGTTGGCCCTGGAGAGTGGACACTGGTGTCTGGGGCCATCTGGGGAGGAGGAAGCAAAAAAAGCAAAGTGGAGGAAAAGGTAGAAACCTGTACTTGAACAACAATAAACAAAAAGAAGCGAAGTGGTGCAAAGTGGTACAAACAGGGCCTGGACTGGAACCTGGGAGCCCTCCTCCCACCCTCTTCCCTGCCCCCCCCCCCTCTGGCCCCGTCTTCCCCTCCTTCCGGGCAACCCCCCCTCCCCCTTGGGGAGCGGCAGGCTTCTGGGCAGGCCTGATGCTGACCAAACTTTCTGCATTATTAAATTCCTGCCTTGGAGGGACCAAAATTTGAAACATCCCAGGCCTCTGTCATGTCCTGTGGCTTTCTACTTCCCCACCGTCATCTCCCCCTCCTGCATGTCACTCCTCAAGATGATGGGCTGGGAGGGGACTGCCCTTCCTGATGGATGGGCACAGATCTTAGGGAAGAAGTAACCCCTCCCACCCCAGACACCAAGGCTGTGCATTAATGCTGCCTTGATGCTGATACGTGTCTTAGAGCCACAGGGCAGAGGCCACCCATTGTGCCAGAGAGGGGAAGTGACCTCCCCATGGTCACACAGCCAGTCTGGCACACACCAGCCCTCTGACTGCTTGTCCTGTGTCCTTTCCTCTCTCTGCCTCGTCTCCTGGACACCAACCTCACCTGTTTGTGAAGCGCCTTTTCCTGGACCAAACCCTGTCCTGTACCCTGCCTCTGTCTGTAGAAGAAAGAGCTGCAGCTCCCTGGCCAGGGGTTCTCGAGTCAGACCTGAGTTCTGTCTCTGTTAGGAAGCCTGGGTCAAGAGGCCACCTGTGTCCAAGACGCAGACTGCGCCGGGTGAAGCAGGAAGGCAGCGGGGGTGGAGGGAAGTGGCCCCGAAGGAGGGAAGAGATGGGCATGGTCTCGGGGCTGCAAAGCCTGCCGCACCCACCTTCCTGGTCTCCGGTGGCGGCCCAGCCGTCAGTCCAGCTCCAGTGCCTTCTCCTCCTCCTGCCCTCCGTCAGAAGGCCTTCCTGAGAAGTGACCTGCCTGTTTGTCCTTTTGGCACTTGTCACTGCCTGCCATTTCTATCGTGATTTCTGTCCACATCTCATCTCCCTCCCTGGACTGTTGGCTTCTTGAGGACAGGACCCATATACGTTTCATGCCAATACCTTCCGTGCCTAGGACAGGGCTTGGTACTCAGCAGGTACATAATGGATATATATTGGATAAGATAAATGATGGTGGTAGTGAGTGACTGTGTGTGGTGGTAGATGTTGGTAGTAAATGCTGATTTGTCATAAAGGTCGATGGTAGGAGGTAGATGGTAGTAAATACTAGGGAGAAAGAGAAGATGGTGGTTGTCATTGGTCCTGGTGGTGGGAGGTGATGGGTGGAGGGTGCGGGGAGGATGAGTGTAGACAATGGTGGATAATAAATGGTGGTGGATGGTGAAGCAGGACATCACAATAGACAGGAGCAGGAGAAGGACGGTGGCAAAAGGTGGCAGTGGTGGTGGGCTGCCGTCATGGTGGAAATGCTGGGTGACTTCTGCTTATGTCCCGTCCATCTGCCCCTCTCTAGGAGACCCTAGTTCAGCTCTTGGATTGCCAAATTCCCTGACACTGTGGTTTTTTGTTTTCGTTTTTTGGGTGTTTTTGCAGACTCTATCGGAGGTCCCTTCCCTGTCACCTCTCACCGATGCCACCACAAGCAGAAGCACGGCCCGCCGGTGCTGCCCGGTGGGGTGCTCCTGGCCACACCGCTGCTCTTCCACCCACACACCAAGGGCTCCCAGATCCTCATGGACCTCAGCCACAAGGCCGTCAAGAGGCAAGCCAGCTTCTGCAATGCCATCACTTTCAGTAACCGCCCGGTCCTCATCTATGAGCAAGTCAGGCTGAAGGTGGGCTTCCCTCCCCGTTCTATGTCACTGTGCCCCCCGAGCCCCTGAACTTTACCCACCCCCACTCCTGGCACTGCCTTCTGTGAGGCCAGCACTGCAGCCCGCATCTCATCTTCCCTCTCTGCTGACACTTCTGCTCTTCCTCGTCCCGCCTCTTTCTGGCCCCTCTTCCTTCCTCCTTTCTCAGCCTTCCCTGCATGCAAAGGGAGTGGCCATGGGGACCACCAGCTCTGGCCAGACTGGTGGGAAGTCTCCTGGGGAGGGAAAGGAGTCCAAATGGTGGGCAGGCTGGGCAGTGTGAGTCTCCATGGGTGTCTGCTTGGAGGTGGTCTGCAGAGAAGGGCACACCCCCTTCCCCGGGGGCTCGCAGAAGTGGGGGAGAGGGGGGACTGGGCTGCCGGCCGTCTGAGGCCACCCCACTACCGCCCAGATCACCAAGAAGCAGTGCTGCTGGAGCGGGGCGCTGCGCCTGGGCTTCACGAGCAAGGACCCCTCCCGCATCCACCCCGACTCGCTGCCCAAGTACGCCTGCCCCGACCTGGTCTCCCAGAGTGGCTTCTGGGCCAAGGCACTGCCTGAGGAGTTCGCCAACGAGGGCAACATCATCGCCTTCTGGGTGGACAAGAAGGGCCGCGTGTTCTACCGCATCAACGACTCGGCCGCCATGCTTTTCTTCAGCGGGGTCCGCACGGCTGACCCGCTCTGGGCCCTGGTGGACGTCTACGGCCTCACGCGGGGCGTCCAGCTGCTTGGTGAGTGCCCACTGTCTTCGGCCCCTTCGGTGCAAGACACACATCCAGGTGTTGTGGTCCGAAGGGGAGTTAAGGCTCTTCTGGCTGCTCCCGGGCCCCCAGCACAACTCCTGGTCCAGGACCCACCCCCCAGCCTCTCCGCACTGGTGCACAGAGACCCTGGGCGTAGCTCGCCCACTGGCAGATTGGTGTGTGTCTCCAGAAGGCGCCTGCATGAGCTTCAGCATTCTCATCTGTAAAGTGGGTTGGTGGGAAGAATGCATTCAGTCAAAGAGGCTGCAAGTAGAGTGCCCAGCACAGTTCTGGGTGCCACGCGAGGGCCCTGCCAATGCCCGTTCTCCCCGTCTCCCACCTCTGCAGAGAAAAATGCCACGGAGGTGGTTGAAAACCTTTTTTTCTTTTTTCCCTTTCTGACTTCAGAGGCTAGAAGCAGTGAGACTCATTTTTCAAAGCACCTGTATCTGAGTAGAAAAGATGGGGGTGGGGGTGGGGGTAGGAGGGAGACTGAATGTAAAAAACAAGTCATCGTCAGAAGCCTTTCTGTTTGTAGAGTTCTAAAACCAGGAGGCTGCTTTTATTAATTAATAGTGTGGGAAGTTTCTGGTTTTCAGCTCAATAAAAGTGGGTTCACATTCACATGGACGCGGTCAGGCTCTTCGGGGTCCCCACAGGTGCAGCAGGACGCCGGGACCACCCTCGGGTGATGTGCTTCCCAAGCCTCCATGACAGGGTGCGCCTGCGGGCCCCTTGGCCGGTGATGGAAAGGGCAGTGGTCATGCTCCCGGGCTGCAGAGTCAGGCAGACCCAGAGGGACGCAGCACCCACCCTATTCGTAGAGCTAGAGCTGTGGGACCTCAGTTTCCTCATCTCTAAAAGAGGGGGAGCAATAACTGTTTTCAGGGTTCTTTTGAAGGCTCAAAGAGCTGAGTTATGTGTGGCTGACACACGTAGGTATTCAATGACTGCCAGTCATCCCCACTCACCGTGGAGTGGCAGTGCTTAACCTAAGGTTCAAGCGAGCCCCTTCCTGCTGCTCTGGTGTCCTCAGGGCCCCACGCTTCAAGGCACTGGGGTCCCAAAGCCTGGGTGCTCCAGCCTGGAAACTTCTGTTTGAGTCTCAGTCTTCTCATTTGTAAAGTGGTTGGGAATGCTGTGACTTAGGCCAGGGCTTAGCCACTTGGTGGGGGAGGGAAGATTGTCTCAGCTCTTGAGAAAGTCACAGTCTTGCTGCAGGGGAGGGGGTAAAGGAAGAGCGGGCAACATTCTTGCTTTTCCTTCAGCAAAGAGTGGCTTTTCTCCTAGTCCCCAAAGATCAAAATCCCACTCGGACTTCAAGGCCCGGCTCATAAGCCACCTCCTCCCTGAAGCCTTCCAGGGCGGGATTCTCTTCTCTGTTCCTTGTGTCCTGCTGTATGGCACCTGCGCTTCTCTAAGTGCTAAGGCATGGACCGTGCCTTGGTCCATCCATATGTCTGTTCCCACACAGGACAGGGAGGGCCCCAAGGAAGGAACCCGTGTCTCAACCGGCCAGCTTCCTCTGCAGAGTGGAATCTTGGGCTGGGCGTGTGGAGGGTGCTAGGGAACACTTGAAGGGTGGGTAGGGAAGGGGACTGGGGTGGAGAGCTGACTTGTTAGATGAAGGGAGGGGTGCGTGTGTGGGTGGGGTAAGGCTCATCCAGCCGGGCTTGAAGACTGCCCCGGCCCACTGGGGATTAGGGAAGACAAAGCAAACTCTCCAGACACAATCAGCGCCCAACATAAGAGCAGACAGTAAATCGCTAGATGGTGTGGTCATAGGATCCAGTGATCTCATTTAACCTCTCAGCAGCCAGCCTGGGAGGGGTGCTTTTTATCCTCATTTGACTGGGAATGAATTGAGGCCCAGGGAGGACCTGACTTGCCTGTGTAAGGATGTGGCAGAGGTGGGACCTGAACTGGGTCTTCTGTTGCCAAAAGCAGTGCCTTTCCAATGACCCCCCAGTGGGCTTAAGCCTGAAGGGAGGCAGGAAGTCAGAGGAGGCTGAGGTCAGTGAGGGAGGATGGAGTCCAAGAAGGCTTCTTGGAAGAGGAGGCTTAGGCTGTATCTTCAAATTCCAAGACAATGGGGTGGCAGGGGTGGGGGTGAGGAATCAGGGGAGTGGAGATCAAGGGGACATGCCAAGTAAGATGGGGCTTCAAAATCCCCGGCTGAAGGAGGGGCCTGGAGAATAACTTGAAGGGCCTCACCCTGGGGCAGAGCCCAGACACCCTGCCTGACCCAGCCCAATTCCCTTCTTTGACTATAAATGGATTTTCACGCAGCATTTTTAGTTTCATTGGATTTCCCGGCAGGCTCCTCTCTGTACACCCGACAGCGGTAAGGCCCCTGCCGATCCCTGTCCCAGCTGTAAATCACCACAATCCCTGGGCATTTTCAAACACCAATTACGGCCCCTAAATTCAATTAGCAGATTATAATGTCTTCATTTGTTCTTCCTAAGTGGATTTTTAAAAAAGAGGTATGTGCAGGATATCATCAATGGCCGCGTGCCCCTCTGTGCCCTCGTTTGGTGGGCTGCCCTCTGGGCACCCCCGCTGGGGGCAGTTTTCCTCCCTCTCCCCACCTCCCATGTCCCCCTCTCCTCTTGCCTGCACTTCACTGCACCTGGGTCCTCCTGAGCCTCCCTCCGTCCCTCCACCCTGGCTGCTCTGGCTCCTCGGGTTCCCTGCTCCTCCTCCTCTGGCTCCGAGGACAGGCCTGTCTTCCTGGTGTGATGATCCCCCAAACCAGTGTCTCATCTTTAGAGATTTCCTGCCAAGCCTGCCCCTTCCCCTCCTTCCTCTCTCTGGAACCTGTGGCCCAAGCCCCCCAAACCCCACCCGGGCAGTGTCTGCTCCTCAGAACAGAGACACCTGGGGTACCTGGTATATAATAGGCTGGAACAGTAGGCCACGGATGGATTGACCATCTCTCCTGACAGAGTGGAGACAGTGCTGCTGTCTGTCCCTGACGGACACCTCCAGGCGGGTGCCCCACCCCCGGCTCCTGCCCTAACCACAACCAGAGTCCACTGGCGCCCTCCCCAGGCCCCCACTCAGGCCCTCCAGGCTCCCGTTATGCAGAGCACCCTCTTCCTTCGGGGCGCTCTGGCCCAAGCCTGGCTGGTATCTCCAAGAATAACAGCTTCCTGCCTCCGGGAAGAAGGACCTGCCAGCCACTAAATAAATACAAGTTTTATGGGGTGATTAATATAATATTTGGAAAGATAAGCTCCTACCCCAGTTTTTCAAACTCTCCCTGCTCGTCTCAGAAATGCTGGCTCTGGAAGAGCAGCCATGGGTTCTGGCAGAAAGCTGGTGAGCCAAGATCCACTTACAGGGTGCTTCTGAGCACTCCCCTGTGACCGCCACAGCCTAGGCACTGTGCAGGGGTGGGGGGAGGCACAAGAATTGGAAACCCCCCTCCTTGAAGAGTGTTTACAGTGGAGGGATGGCGCACCATGTAACTGTTCTAAGGTGATATAAACCCAGCCCTGCAATAAGTTTATGACTGAAGAGTAAAACTGAGGTGGGGGTGGAGGAGTGCAGCTGGGGAGCAACCCAGGAGGACTTCCTGTAGGAGATGAGTTTCAATTCGGAAACCCAAGGAGGTGAAAAGAATGGGCTGTTTGAGGAGGAACAATTTGGGCCAAACAGGAGGGGCGTGCATAAAAATGAAGCGGGGGTGGTCATTAGCAGTCATCAGGCAGCAGATCCTTCAGGGGAGGGGATGAAGCAGAAAGGTAGTGGGTGACTTATGGAGAAGGGGTGTGCACAGGTGGGGCAAGCTATGAAAGTAGGAACTTCCCAGCAGCTTCTGGGCTGTCAAGTTTTCAGTAAGAGGAAGCGTGGCCTGCCCAAATGCTCCCACCAGTCAGAAGCCAGGCCAGGCCAGGAATTCGCATCTCCTAGGCTGATCTGGGCGTGGGGTCAATGTGAGATTTATTGCCTTGTCAAAGTGGCAGTGGCTGAGCCCAGGAGGGCCTTAGGTGGGCGCTCCCAAGGGTGCGTGGCATTCCGCTGCTTCCCAACGTCTGCCCAGGCTCCCAGGTCTTGGTAAAAGATCTCACCTGCCTGCTAAGGAGAGAGATGTACGGGGACTCCCGGGGTAAACTTTCTAAGGGTCAGGCTGCTGCTGGACCAGTCCCTTGGGTGGCGGGCCAGCCTGGCTGTCCAGCAGGAGGAGGCCTAGGCCTTGGGTCAGGTCTCCCCTCTGGGGTGTGTCCGGGCCTGGAGGACAGAGGGCGAGCCATCTCTGGCTGGCTGAGGACCACACTGCCATCTGGGCTTCCGCTTCCCAGGCTAAACCAATATTTACCTTCAGCTGTGGCTGCCAGGGGCTGAGAGGCAAATATTAGTCTAAGGAGCCTGAGCCGAGCCCTTGGGTTGGGAAAGGAGCCGAGGATGCTGATCACAATTTCTTTCTCTTCGAGAGTTTTCATTTCTTCTTGATTCAAAAATACCTTGCTATTCTTTCTGCTTCAGAGACTCTGCCAGGCAATTTTTTTCTGCTCATCCCCAATTCTGCCAAACATATGAGGGCCCAAGCTCAACCTCCCCTCTACCAGGAAGCCTGCCCGACCCTCTCTGTTCTCGATGACCCCGCCTCCTCCGGGCCATTTGAAGCACGTGTAGGTGGAACGGTGTTGGCAGTTGTGCACCATGTCTGCTCTTCAAGAACTGCATGGAGCCTCTGTGTACATATTATAAAGAGAGCTCGTGTATCCATTTTGCAGACAGGGGAACAGTGGCTCTGAGAGGTCTGGCAGCTTGCCCAAGGTCGAACAGCTCCGTGGAGCTGCACCTTGAGCCCTGTACTGTGGGCTCTGTTAATTCCCAGCTTCTCCAAATATGAGTCCATCCGGTCTTCCTATTAGTCTGGATTCCCCCAAGTGTGGGGGCCGTGGACTTCCTTTGTCATCTAGAGTAGAGCTTACGAGAGTGCAAACCCGACCATCAGGGATCGGCTGTACACATTAGGT